CGTAGTTGATGTAGTTATTTTCTCCAAGATAAAATAGAATTTCTTCAGTAGCCATAGTTTGGTCTTCTGATATGGATAGCCAAGAGATAGATACTATGCCTGTGAGATTATCTCAACCAACTAGTTCACGAAGGCGACCCCGAGATGAAGAACCACCTCTACCACGACGACGACGGAGGATACCAAGTAACCGATCACTAGTGATTGTATTTGAGTCCGAGCCTGCTTACGATGGTCAACCAGAAGGCATATTTGCAGGACAATTTCACAATGAAGACACGGAAGTTCATCCTTGGTCAGAAGTTGAAGGAGTGGGCCACTACCGTTGGCTTCAAGGGCTGATGAACCACTTACCTCCTGAACAACAGTTGGAGTTCATAGCAGACGTGATGCGACAGATCTTTATTTTCTTGCGTTGGTACTGATTGACAACAACATTGCTTCTCACAGACCTCGAAGCTAAAGGAAGGGAGTGATGTTAGGGACATAGTCTTTAGAACCTTCTAGAGACAAGTTTCTAGAACCTTCTAGAGACAAGCTTCTAGAAACTTTTAGAAGCAAGTCTGTGGAACCTTCTAGAAGCTTCTTAGTTAGTAGAAGATGTTAGGGACATAGTCCTTAGAACCTTCTAGAGATAAGTTTCTAGAACCTTCTAGAAGCAAGTCTCTGGAACCTTCTAGAAGCTTCTTAGTTGGTAGAAGTTGCTTGAGAAGCTTCCTAAATAGGAGTATATATTGGGATCGAGGCTGAAGAGTTCTTCAGTCTCGACAACACATCTCTTGGAGCTCTAGCTCACCTCTCTGGTGTTGTTCTTGTATTCATCTGATTAATCTAGTTCTTGCTAGTTCTTCTTGAACTTCTTGGTAGATATTAAGTCTATATTCTGTGTCCGTGACAATATCTTAGATTCAAGGTAATAGTAAAATATGTTGGAATATCTTATATGTTGGCACAATTATGATATTAGTGAATTGATGTGAGAGCCATCTAAGAAGCTTGCAAATGTAATAAAGAAGATTGATGCTTTTTATTAACAACTTCCATCAAAACTAAGATAAAAGGTCAAGCAATTTTTTAATATAAAAGAAACAAAGTTTATTGAAGATTGCATTCTATCTTCTATCTTTGTTTGTAGTTTTTTCATATTTGTAGGACTAAAGAGATAGATAATTTACAACCACCAAATTCAATTTAAAAACTATCATTTGTTTGATTACTAAATGACACATTGAAATTTTTACAATCTTTAAGATAATGTAATAAAGTTTAAGACCTTCAAAAATAACATATGCTTCCTCAAATAGATGGTGAGATTCAATGTGTTTGATATCACGATATTTAAAGAGACTCAAAATATTTGGTGATATTATTCGAGGTAAAAACAACCCTTAATAGTGTTTCAAATGTTTTATTTAAAAAAAATTATGAAGGCCTTAACAATGATCAAATAATAAGGTGGTCTTTATACCTTGATATGAGATACTATCAATGGTTAAAAAAACTTATTAATTATCTTAAAAAAAATAATTATATAAAAAATATAATTTATTGTATTTGAGACTTTATCAACATATGGTTATTGCTCTTTGTAGAACTTGTCCTAAAAAGGAGAGTAATGTCACGAATATACTTGATTATTTAAGTAAATGAAAGTAGATTTGATAATATCTTATAGAGTGACTTCTTAAAAGCTATATAGATGCAAATTTGACTTCAGATGTATTTGTAGTTGATTAGTAGGTTAGAAACTTGGCCAACAAATTGGACACATGTTGCACTTGTTGGCAACTTGTAGTACAAATTGACCATATGGTGTACATAGAAGAAACTTCAATTGCAAGTTAGATACTTATCAAAGGTTTTATATTATATTGCTATGTAGATCTTAGTTAGATAGTATATATGAATGCAAGAGTGAAGCATTTTTTTCTCTAGTGAATGCCTTTCTTGCGCTTAGTCTTTTTTCAAGAGCTTCTAGTTTTCTTATCTTTGGTAGTAACCATTCTTGTTTAATATTATACCATCTTTAAGTGATTATAAACTCTTTTCTAGTAACATGAGAATGTATTAACCTTTTGGTTCTTTGTGATTAATATCTTTGACAAGAGGTTCAAAGAATAGGTTCAAATCTAAAAGGATATAAGCTAATTTAATCACTCATCTTAAAATAGGAATCTTAATTATATTTTTTGGAATATAGATTTTTGTAGTAAAATAAAGAAATTCTATTGATATCTACTCATATTTTAATAAAAAAATAAAAATATTATATAATTTTTTTTAATAATTAATAAATATAATATTTTATAATATATGAGAACAATAAAAAATCTATTAATAAATAAAAAATATGATTTTTTCCAATATATAACTATATATATTTTTTATGAAGTTAATATAATCCTATTATAATTATAAGATGTAATATTTTAATTTAAAAAATTTCTAAAAAAAATCAATTAAGGACTTATATTCCTAATATAATCTTTTGGTTTTGAAGAGTTAGTATTTTTTATTAGTTTATTTTGTTAAAATAATTAGAAAAGTGATTTTCCAAAACAAATTATCTTAGCTTATAAAGTAAAATATTATTCTATGGTATAATTTATACTTTTTTGTTTAATTTTTATATTCACTTTTTTATTACTTAGATTTAAATAATAATAAAAATATCCAAAATAGGTGATTTTTTTCTTAAAATTAGGCAAATTCTTTAGAATCCAAATACTTTAAAATATAGAAGATTACTACACGTAAAGTTTCTTATTAAATAAAAGAATATTTGATTAAAACCAAGAGTTTGTAAAGATGCAATACTTTTATATCTTATTTGGCATTATAGAATAGCAATTAATGCTTGGAGAATATAAGTAGTTAATATTGTATCTCTGTTATTTAGAATTAGCACATAAGAATAACTTGAAATAATTTTGCATATATTTTAGAAATACCCTCAAACAAGAAGATTTTAAGACAAAACTATATCAATCATTGAAAAGTTAATTACAAATCCAAGACATTAACGGCCTTGAAAAAATTTCTTGTAGAAACAGTTTATATGTATAAAATATATTCTAACTAAGTACAAAATATTTAAAACAATTTTGTAATTAATGAGGAAAATATAGGTGCAAAGAAAAACAAACAAATTGAATAAAACCCTAAAGCAAAGTGATTGTTTATGAATCAATGCTAATAATTAGTTCTCATCAACAAATAAAAACTTGATTTTTAATACTTCAACTTTTGTCCTATGATAAATGTGTTGGGAAATTGAACGCCCCTTTGTTAAGTGTACTCTAATCAATGTGAAGGACATGCCCAATTTGTGTTTAAAAAATTAAGAATAAAACCAAGCATTCCTGCAGTTGGAGCATTATCTATATTCTGTATTATATGGGGCGAGCAAAAGTAGAAACACCATCCCACAAAGTCATAAAGCTATACATACATATAATTAAACAAAAGAGAGGCAAATTTCAATTTACTTTAAGGCTGTTATGATTCATTAAATCCAAAGCATCAAATCTGTGTTCAACAACGTACTTTTTGCCGAATTTTAAAACTGTGGTTCTCAGTCAGGAAACAAAACAATAAAGTATTCTGCTATACACACACACACATATATGTATGTATGTATATATCTATATACATACATACATACATACATACATACATATATATTTATTTACATATATAAATATGCCTGTGTAAAGATTCATTCATGCTTTCTTTCATTCATGATGGTAATAAAAATCAGCCTCAAAGGCATGGCTGACTTTATGTGCACAACATTAAAGTGAAGAAATTTTTCAGGCTCACCGGCACCGGCATTTCGCCACCTGGTGGATGAGGATGGATCTGGCGGCACCGCGCCAATTGGCACCAGATCCTGCGATACTGCGGACACCATCCCACTCCTGGCGGTGCAATCGATGCAGGAATGACGCCGCATCATCGCTTGTAATCCAGGAAATCTGGCTCCACAAACTTGACTTTATGCAACACTACGTTGAATCCCCGCGTGGAAAAACTGTAATCATCGACATTGAGAGGAGTTGGCATTGATCTTAACTTATGGCTGAGCGGATCCTGGTTTAATTAAGCGTCTAAAAAAGGTTTCTAGGCATTGATCATGCTTGGCTGCAGTTGTCGATGGATTCAAACTTTGTGTTCCTTTTACAAAGGTACCCACCTGTGTTTGTTTCCACGCGGAAGTCGTGTGTGAAGAGGTTCCATGATTTTGAGCCGAAAGTGAGACATGGATTTGTTCTGAAGCTCAAGGATTCTCATGTGCTCGTTGCTGATCTTTGGTTGATTTTATGGGTCTGTGTCTCAAGACACGGGGGATGACAGGATACCGGAAAGAACAACTCAACTTACTGCCGGAGAAAGGATCTTTGGAACTCTCCCCGATTGCTGCATCAGTATGCGTGCTGATTATGCTTCACATGCTGGCTCCAACGGCAGTGCGTCAACCTCTAATGAGCATATTTCGTCTTCGGACAATAGTACGGGTCAGTGTTCGTGGATGATGAAGGCATCGGCACATCTCAAAAGAGAAAAAGTCTGTACACACACAGTATGCATGGTGAGGTACGCCACCGTGGAAAAGACAAAATCCAGCAAGAGCAAGCAATGGCGTGGTCAAGGCCTTGAACTCAGCAAATCTATCCTGAACTGTGGAAAATCAAAATCCGACTGTGCATAGGTTATCCGAAATCAAGGCACAAATCCCTTTGTAAGAAGAGAAGGCATACTATATCGATTTGTTGGTTCGGTAGGCCAATAGAGCCACCAACTTGTACGCTCATCCCATGAGCCAGAAAATTTTGTGGTTCATATGGCAAACGATCAGGAATTGGCGAACTCAATCTATTTCAAGGATTATTTTAAGAGTATTTTTTAAAAAACAGATTGGACTTTTTGGTTGATTGAAGGAGAGTCATAATGTTATACGAAAATAAGACATGATCCTGGAACATTACCGTGCCTTTACTGTTCACTCCGGTAACCTTCCAGATGCTTGCCTGTACAATCGACTGTTGAAAACATCTCAGGCTGCTCCTGCGGGCGACCATACCCCATACGGCTGGACTTTCTGGTGGTCTGTTCTTGGAGCCCATTTGACAGACGTATTGCAGTTAGTGACTCTTAGATAACCCTAGCCTGTGGTTGTTAGAAGGTTTTTCAGATTTTTTTTCGTGACGCATGGAAAAGAAGGACCAAACTTGGATCAAAGTGTAAGTTTCTGGTAGGGTCTGTGGACGTGAGTCTGTGATTCCTTGTTGGTATCGTAGTGGTGGTGGTGGAGCTGGAGGATGTCGAGATACATGCCTGAGGTGAGAATTTTCATAATTTGTTTCCAGAATTCTGCATGTCGGCGTCATGTTTGATTTGGGTGCTCTCGAAGGATTGCTTCAAGTAATTTGCCCACGTGTTATTCAAGAAGCAAGCGTATTTTATATATTCTGTGGCCATGGAGAGCATTCAACTCGTGCTAGTGAGAGGTCACTTAAAATTGTCTTCCATTTATTCGTACATGAACAAGATTTGCGGTACAGTTCAGTTGGCACCTGTATATCTGAGGGCAAACTCTGGAAAAGAGAAACTGAACTATTTCGGACGTTTTCTTGTGCTATGTGCGATTTTGCAGCTGTATGGGTCCTTGCCTCCGGAACCCGTGTGGGTCATCAACAACCGAAGGCGGCATCTTGGGTACTCGGTTGATCCTTACTACGCCCCAGGACCGTACGCGGAAGCTCAAAATTTCGGTCCTTACTCTCGAGGACCGCTTGTTTCAGTGCGTCTTCACCTCAACCCACTTTGCTCATGTGGATTAACACCTGTCACCTGTTGCTGTAGATCTGTTGTGTTTGGAAGGCTCTGCAAAGATTCAAATCTTCGTCGTCGAATCTGAAATCGTTACCATCGAATTTCCAACTTAACATTTTTGGTAGTTGTCGGCTCTGCATATTATTGACATGGCAGGCGTGTGCGAGGGTATGTTATCCTGCGTTTTTTTAAAGTGAAAACCTTGCTCCGTTGATGTGCAGGACGTGCAACTGAAGACTCCCATTTACCACATGGAGGATGTTGCCAGAATCAAGGATGCCCTCGCCATCGAAGGTAAGGTTTGCACATTCGGCATTCTCAACTAGCATTATCTTCTGATTTCTGTGTCTTATTCCTTGAAACCCTTCGTCAGACGATTGAAGAACGAACCCTTCAAACTTTTCTTGCAGGCGTCTATAATGTGATATGCGACATCCCCGATCAACTGGTGGTAGTGTCCACAAGACTGAGCCCACACACGATCGCTAGCCTAGTGCGGCAAGTAATGGGAGAGGCCACCCTCATCAACATCGTCGTCGACCCTTACACTTCATCGGCGGCGCTTCGGCCTCCCATTGACAGAACCCGATACTCATCCTACGACGACATGTACACATACCCCATGTCGTCAACCGGCTTTGCCCCATCCTACGACCCATACAACGGTCGATCATACGACAACGAGTTCCGACCATCTCGTTATTACCCCAGCTACAGCTACTACTGAACTCGATGAAAACAGCACTTCAAAAGAGCTTCTGCAACTTTGTTTGGACTCGTGAACGTCCAGGTTGATGGTAAGAAACGCAATCTCCGTAGATAAATTCCACCTTCAGGTCAGGTCAGCCGAGCACGGTCTGGCTTGCGGTAACCGAATTTGTTCCGACTAGAAATGCACATCAGAGTAGGCAAAACCAGCCCATGTGGGCTCTACACACAGAAACACACCAACAGGTTTTTTAAGATTTTGGTCTGATAGTAATTGAAGCGCAGATCTCCACGTTGTGTGTAAGACTTTTTATTTAATACGCAAGAACGTTGTGAAGAGGTCGAGCATATACAAATTGGGTGTTGCAGTGTCAGTATTGTTCGAAGAATTCTTCGTGGTAATCAGTCCGTGTGTGCATTGCCCTTTGCAATGCGTGGTTTCGACGATGCGGAAACGGCGAACACCGCATCCAGTTCTGCTGGTGTGAACTGAGATCGTGTTTTGGAAGCCACGTGGTGATCAGATGGGTGACGTGGAATGCAGTGACGTGGAATGGGTTAGGCTGAACTTGGATTTCTAATTTGGGTTTAGGAATCTACTAAGACAGTGTGAAAATGGTTGCTTTTTTGTTTTGTTGTTGGTGGAATTCTTTCTTAGCGAAAAATTTGTAATTTGAAATTGCAAATTGTAATACATACAAGTAAGAACTTAAATATATAGATATATATTTCTGGAAGCTGCAATTTTGTTTTAAAAATTCGTCGTAAGAAGAATGATCCAAACCTAAGTGCTTGTTGGAACAAAGTTAAAATAAAAACAATCAGACATTTTAAGGTGTCGTTATTTTTCAATTATTTATTTATTTATTACCATTAGGCACTAAAAGAATTCTAAGGTTGAAGATGCAATTATTAATCTAATGAAACTTTCACTAAGAATCCTTATTCCATACAACTAAGCAATTGAATATAAACAACATTTCAAAAGTCTTTTAAAAAGAGAGACTACATTCTAGTTGGCCATTTACAAGTTTGAACTGTTTGGATATCATTGACACGCATGCCAATGCCTCATAGAATTATTTTTGAAGAACTAAAAGAAACTTGTTCCCAATTGATCGTGCTCAAGGTGAAAGATTACTCTGTATAATTCTTTAACATAAAATAAAATAAAATAAAATAACCTCAATATTATTCATCTCTCTGGTAAAGTATTATTTTGAAAATCTTTGCCATTAATTTTTAGTTTTCTTTTCTTTTCTTTTCTTTTCTAGTCTCTTCCCCCCAAATATAGTAGAAAGTTCAGTTTTTTATTTGTGTTAAAGTGGGTTGTTTTATATATGCAAATAATTAATCTATGCAGGCGGCTTTATGAAAGAGGCACTTCTAAGTTGATCTTTCCTTTGGAAAGTGCCAGTCAGAAAAAAGTTATCACTCAACTTAACAAATCAGGTGCAAATAAATCTTTTTAATTTTTTATATGAATATATCTGGATCTAATTTTTATTTATATGTTTATTTTCTTTAAAAAAAAATACATAGATAAATAATAAAGCAAAAAAAAAAAAAAACAACCAACCAACAATCTTCACATCTTCCAGAGCTTCCATTCTACACAAAACGAATTCTGACATTGTAGTAAATTTGGTGCCTAAGCCTTAGAATGCCATATAAAACAATTAGATTTAGACCATGTTTAATCATTAAAAAAGGATTATGCTATAGAGTTGTTTTCCAACTTTTATTATTAATTTTACTTTAAAAACTAACCAACATATGCTTCTTTTAAGACATTTTTGAATAAAAATAACTAAATTAATAGTTTAAAATAATCTTTTTTAATATTTAATATTTTTTTTGGTTTCAATATTTCTTGCTTGCATTGATTGCTTTATTTTTTCTTTATTAATTTTATATTTTATATAGATTGGAACAAAAATAATCTTATTAGGCTAATTAACAAACTCAAATTATATCCAAGTACCCTTTATCAATAACAAATACATTGTTTCTACAATATTTATTGTTTTAAGATCTCATTTAAAAAATACATAATAAAATATAAATATAATTCTTCGTTATTTTATAATTTTATCCACTTAGACCAATCTAGCCTCAAACAATGCATTAGTATTTATCAATACTTTTTCTTTTGTACCTTCTGTTGCATATATTGATATTTTTCTTCTTAGTTGCACTCTTTAGTACCTCCAAACTATTATTTTAATATGTTGCTCTAATATCTCATTTCAATATTGCTTAGATTGCTTCATTGGTTTGCAAGCTTATTGCTTCTTCTTCCATTATTTTTTGACACAAAATAGACCAATTGTTTAACATTATACAAGACTTCTCTTTTATTTAGTTCTATATATATATATATATATATATACATATTGTTTAGATGTTCAATCCTTCTCTATCAACACAAAGCCCGAAATCTTTTTGAGCCACCTATGGCCTTGTCTTCTTTATCCTTCTTGTGAAATTGCCTTGTAATTTAAAAAAATCTATATGTTTCTTTTATTAGTCTTATTCTACTATTTTCATCATTTATTGCTACTGTTTTTTTTTTATTTTCATACTCTTCATCTATTCTAAGGTACAATACCTATTTGTATGAATATTGTATATATACATATATATAAACTAATCTACATGATATAATTTAGATTAAAATTAAAAAGTCTTAGTCTTACTAATGTCAACCTATAATAAGTATTAATATTTTTAATCACTTTATTTGTATATATTTTATGTATCATTATTTATTAAAAAATAAATAGTTTTAGTGTATTAATTTTATTTTTTTTTAAAAAAATCTACATATATTTATAATGTTTGTTTGTATATTAAATTTATTTTTCAATATATACCTCAAAAATTTAACGGATATATATAATTATAAAGTAATGTTATTAATTTTAAAATAAAATATCTATTTTTATGTGTATATATATATATATATATATATATATATTTATTGATTAAAATTTCACCAATATTTAAAATATAAATACATATGTTTAACTTAGAGTTTTTGAAGTATTGTACCAAAATAACCTTCTTTTTAATTATAAGATGATTTATTTTTTAATAATTATCAAATCTATCTTTCTCTAGTAACTCCAAAAATCTTGCAATCCTTAAAGATTAATTAGGAAAAGAAGTATTCAAAGAACATCAGATTTTAGAAATAATTAAGAAATACGTAAAACATTAAAAGTTAAAATATGTAAAAGATGTACATCATACAATAATTGAATTATAACATTTGAAACCAAGTAAAATTTATTAAGAATTGTTCAAATACTTGCTCTATAATTGCTACAATTTGAGATATCTTATCTTTGTAAATTACAATATAATTGTAAAATTATGTTCCAATATTTTGTGTTCTTTTTTAGGATATAGTTTTTTTTCTCAGAGGTTAATAGAATATCAATTGAATATTAGACTTCTTTTAAAGTATTTTATTTAAATTATTTTGGTTTTTATGATGATGACTTCAATCTTCTTTGTAACAATATTACTTAATTGACTATCATGAGGACCTCTCTTACTTTGCAATTTTTCCTATCCAAATGTTAACTTTTAAATTGTTAATGTAGTCAATTGACATTGCAAAGTGTAATTTTTGAAGTAATTTCTTATTCTTCACAAAACTTACTTTCACCAAATCTATTATAAAAGATATACTTATATCACTTAATATGTAAATAGATCAATACTATATTAAAATTGGGGTGTATATCAATAATCACAAATGAAGATATACACAATGGTTAATTTCTCACCAAAACCAAAACATCGAATTTACTCCATAGATTTAATGAAAGTCAATCTGATAAAGCCAACAAGTTTAATTTCAGTTTTTATTCTGATTAAAACTGGGGAGTGTTAGAATACTAGATTCTAAATTATTATTATGCTGGTCCTTATTTAACCACCTAGTCTCAGGATTTGTCTCGCCGAAGACTTAGGCATGATCCAGATGCAATTCATGGTTTGCAACTTTGCTGGCTCAGCATGAAATGGTTCCAGATCGACAACTGGTGGCCATTGTCTCGGGATCCGAACGTCGTGAAAGTTCACTCTAAAAACCCTAACAACACTGTTGGTAGTGTTCAACCCTAAAATAGAAAATAGTTGGTTTGTTCTTTTGATGACACCGGGTTTCCACTGTCGAAGACAAGATCATGGTTTGTTTTGAAGAGGCACACGCCAGACTTGACTCAGTTTACCAATGCAGATTTTTAGACTACAACAGGAAGTGATAAAAAGAAGTATTGGCTTAAGCTAAGCCGCAAGGGCTTTGAGCGACTGGAAGACCTGGCGGCTTGTTTCTTCCCCAAGCAGTAACTCGGAAGCCATCTTCACACTCTTGGATGGAGGTTTGCCGAGGAGAAACATGCGGGGAGGAATCTCGAGCAACTCGGGTGCAAAGACGCGGAACAACACGTTGAATGAGTACCAGGTTGGAATGAGCGCATAGCGACGGTTGGACAAGGCAGCCTCCACAATCTTCTTCGCACAATCTTCTGTTTCCATCATCGGCCACCATCTTGGGATATGCCCCTGCACATATACAGTGTGATAGATCAGTGATGCAAGCACTTTTTCAGCACCCCAGGATGGCAACTTTGGCTCGTGGAAGACAGCATAATTTTTCTTGTGGGGTATTAATGTGGTGCCATGTTGGCTTTTTCTTTCAAGTGAAATACGATGTTTAGAGACGCACCCTGGGGCCTAGGGTTGTTAGCTCCGATTTCACGAAACCAGGCAACGCAACAGTGATGCCAATGCTTCGTCCTATTGGCTCCACTCGGAGAGTATCATAGAAATGGAGGAGAGCTGCCTTGGATGCCTAGCACATGCAAGCATGACAATGCTCAATTGTCAAGGTGGTGAAATTCACCGTACTTCCTCAACAGGAACTCAAACTTCCAATGCACGTTGTGTATGCATCTTGCCAGCGGCGCCAACAACAACGATGATGCTACTTACGTTGTAGAATGTCTGCTTTGGATACGGCGCCAGGGCACCGACAGAGCAGGTAACCACAACTTGACCGCGAGTGCGTCGCAAATGTTCCAATGCAAATTTTGTTGTCAAGACATTGCCCCAGAAATCCACTTCCTGCAGCATTGTCGTAGAATACTTCACAAACGAGATGGAGAGCTCCAGAAGAAAGCAACAAGTTTCATGGATGAATTTTTTAACCATGTAATAAATGACTACATTTAATACGATATTAGTCGAGACATGGGATTGTAGACCTCACCACATCCTTGCGGAATTTCTCAGTGCTGGAGTATTCCTCAAATGGTGAAATACTTGCACTTCCTGCATTGTTCACCAGCACGTCCACTGCTTGCGCATACAGATTTCAAAACTTTAGTTTCAGATGGGAATTCAAGATGCTTTCACAGGGTGGACTAAGAGTCAAGAAACCGAAACAAGAGGATTTCAACCGCCAAATGATCTCTGTCGCTTAATAATTGGTTTTCCTCGCAGAATTTTAGAGCAGAGACATGAGCTTACCTCTGCCGAAGGTTTCGAGTGTGAAATTGACCAAGTTTTCACATGAATCGGGGACGGAAACATCCGTAGGACAAACAACTGCATCAGAAGCACCATGCTCTGAGCACTTCTTTGCCACCTCCTCTAATTTCTCCTTGCGTCTAGCGGCCAGAACTAACTTAGCGCCTCTCTTTGCATACTCCATGGCAATGCACTGCCGCACAAATTGATCTCACATTACTCCTTGCTTTCATAAAGCTTAATCCACCTAAAATTCGCAGAAGGTATTGGAGTTTCAGCAAGGAGTTGCAGAAAGGACTAACTTGCTGGTGAAGTTTTGAGTGTCAGAGTAAATGACGATGATCATCTTACCTGTCCAATACCGGAAGACGCTCCTGTGACAATTACGACTTTGCCTTTGACAACCCGGTATTTGGTCCACGGACCACTTCGAAGGATGTTGTAAATGGAAGACACGATCACCGCAAAGGGAAGGGCAAGCAAGCAAGCTACGAACACCGTCCAGGCTATGAATTTCTGTAACCATGTGCGTGGTTCCAGCCAATACCACATGGTTGCGAAGCTTGATCGTCACAACTCCAACGAATTATCCGGCTCCTGCTTTATTCTGAGACTAATTACACCCTTTCAATCACCTCCCTAAAAGCATTCAATTATGACGTTCTTGTCATGAAAATTCCTACTCAACCGTGGGAGGCATTCTACAATTCTTGAGCCATCCTTGATGACAAAACTCTACATACCTGCATGCAATGAAGACTAATGAACTCTCTGGGCTTACACAATCTGCTCCAGCACTTGGATACAACGATCAATCCTTCGCTTGCTCTGTGGCTTGTTACGTGGAGAGCGAAGAGGATGGAGCCATGCATGCAGAACCGACGCTTGTGTGCCAAGTGGAAGGTACACTTGCATGGGGCAGACAAGGCCACTGCTGGTCATGCAAAAGAGGTCGGAAGAATGCTACATCTAGCTATCCCATCACTTGGCGAAGCTATGTGCTACAACCCTTCTCCACTGGAAAGAACTTTTTTTCTTTCTAAACTTCACTTCGCATTACTGTGTAAATGACAGATTACACAATTTGGAATTTGGAACATTGTGCAGCCCACTCGCAGTGATTGTGGGACCCTTTTCCTTCGGCTTAACATTGGGTGTCCCTGATAGGGAGCTTGAAGAATATCCTTTGATAATCCTCATGCCGGTCATTCTGAGCAGAAAAATGGGATCATTCCTACACTGAGGATCATCGAACAGCTGACCTTGAATGTAGTTTACTCTATCAATTAGAACAGCACCTGTTTTTTTTGCAATTGAATAGGCTATCCTCGAACAGCTTTGCATATAGGTACGTCCATGCCCGCAACCAGTGGATCTTGTATTGAAGAAAATTGTTAGTATACTGCCGACCTACCAAGCAATTTAGCCTTCGCAATAACTCATCTGCCACTGCACAAGACAGTAGCTCGACAAAATTGTTACAAATGGGTGTGCCAGACACCCAGCTACCAAACAACTTGGCTCCGTTATCGGAATTTAGGGATCTCACAAAGGTATAGAGTTGTATGTGCAACACCTAAATCTGTTGCAAGAAATAGTCCTCTAAACATTGAAGATAATGGACTACGAGAATAAACAAATATAGGGACAGCACGATAGTTCAATTAAATTTAACTCACATTAAGTCCACTCCTTTCAAATGACGATCCCATGAAACTGACAACCACCAAACTTTCTTTCTAGTATTAATGGAATCCTAAGGTCCTCTCCGAAGCTCAAGGTGAAAATTAGGTCATCTATCGGGCAAGACACATAACAAATCCTTTCTACCTGACTTTAGCTGTAACCGTTTCAATTACATTGAAACACGAGTTTCCTGAATGTAACAGCATTACATGGATCACAATTTGTGACACATGAATTGGTTCCCAAGTATCTTTCTCTCGAGTGCAGGTGAAGCACGCCCTATGTGCCACAATCAGTACAAATTCCAAGATCAAATAAATTTTAGACGGGTGAGAAGGTTCGCCTGCAATGTCGCTACACTAACTGGTCAAGAGAATCCCTTGAAAACTTTACTGCGAGATCAATCGGATAAGGACACCCTCAAATTCTCCACACTAGCCATCAAGAACGAGCCAACGCCCTTGGGATCGTTCGACACGACTTCTTCACTGAGGTAGTAGGCATAGCTTCCATTGCGGTAAGGGTTTCCGCCCAAACCTCCCACGGAAACAGTGCCCGTGTAACTCACTCCTCCGTCTGAAGCGACTTGAACAAAATGTGAGACGATTCCATCGTACCCTGACAAAACGCTTTCATGGAATTGACCTTTGGTCAAGTATCCCAGCCGAACGCCTTTTGCGAGGGAGTACACAAACATGGCAGAGGCCGACGACTCAAGGTAATTTCCAGCATCACCCCCCTTGTCCATCACCTCCCACCATAACCCGGATTGCGGATCCTGGACGCTTTTCACAGCAACGGCAATACGAATAAGAATTGCTAACAGTTCAGGTCGTTTCGGATGGTGATCAGGGAAATAGTCCAGGGTGTCGACAAGAGCCATTGTGAACCATCCCACTCCACGACCCCAGATGCTCGGGGAGCAGCCCGTCACGGGGTCCGACCACGTTTCAACCCTAGACTCGTCGTATCCATGATACAGCAAACCCGTCTTTGAATCTCGCATCCGTTTCTCCGTGATGATGAACTGCGCGGCAATGTCATCAAAATCATCATCCTCCTTAAATTCCATTGCATACTGAGCATAAAATGGCTCCGCCATGTACAGCCCGTCCAGCCATATTTGGTAGGGATACACATTCTTGTGCCAGAAGCCACCCTCGTGTGTGCGCGGCTGCTTCCGTAGCTGCTCGCGGAGAAGATCCGCTGCAGTCTTGTATTTATTCGCTCCAGTGGCTTTGAAAAGAGTGAGAAGAAGCCTCCCCGTGAGAATGCTGTCCAGCTGAAACTCGTCCAAGACATAGCTGGTGATAGTCCCATCATCGTACACAAAGCGGTCGACCTTATATTTGATGTAATCAAGATAGTTTTCTTTCTGGGTCGCTTCATGCACAAGCTCAATCCCGCGCAGAATTGTCCCAAGCTCATACTGAAATCTGTCCTTACCAGGGCCCGTAACTTTCCAGAGATTCATGGACATGGTAGCCATCTGCTCTGTATACACTAGAGCCTGCTGCCCCGTGACATGCGCCACAGCCACCGGCATCCGCAGCATCACTACAACGAAACCTACAGCAGCCAAAACCCTCAACGTAGATCCCCTGCTCCACTTCCCCGAAACCAGAGCTCCCCCCATCGCTTCACTCTCGACGATCCTCATGCCGCGCAATCCCTTTCCTCTGATCTTGCTTTCAGAAAACTAGACCTAAACACGGCGCTGATTGTCCTGAGACTATCGATAGCTCCCCTAAGCACTACCCTCATGAAGATTCTCGAGGCTGAAAAGTACCCAGTTGATCTAGTACGTTTACAAGCAACTTGAGAAACTAGTAGTGGCGACAAGACATGCTCATGCAACGTAGCGAATTGCTTGGACTTTGAAGGCCATGTGCATTGGGCGATCTAGGGTGGCCTGGAAAGCTGAGATTGTGCAGGGCGTGTCAGGGAGCGACAGGCAGAAGATATGAGCACATGTGCCGGCGATGTGGAGCCAAAATACACATGCTTCCTTTGGGCTCTGTGCTCTACTGAACACGAGGCGCCGCGGGTCGGTGGCAGAAATCGTGTTACTCAACCGACACCGAAGCTTCTATCTATTGTCAGTGGTAATGGTCTGATGCTTCGTCGGAGGAGCTCTCATGACATGGACCTAATCTAAGATAATAATAATTTAGAGTCAATATGGAATGTAAGCATGTAACTTACTGAGGAAAATAGGAAATTTATAACATAATCTGTGGGGGATGTTAAATGGAAATGCACGTAGTTGTACAATGTTTTTTTTAGTCTTGATCCAACTAAATAATTAGTAAGTTTGTGGAGTAAGTTTTCTAATGGAATTAATAGTTTTTCCACCAAGAAAATCAATTGCTTATTTGATTATTGTTTTGTGGTTAGTTCTCTTAGATTTTTTTGAGAGATTTGCCACAGGATAGGTTCTCTATGTTATGCCCATAAATGTTAAGGTAAGTGGCAGATTCTTATAAAATACTGTGTGTGTGGGTATTGCCTAGGCTTATCAATACAAAAAAACTTTCATTAATGTTCATTACTAGCATGTGCTCATAATAAATATAAAATATGTAAGTATCATAAAAGAGTCTAAAATGCAATAGACAAAAGTGTAGTTTTCACCAAAGATAAGCATCGTGTTTAAGTGGGAAATGTATATTATACATATATATATATATATATATATATATAAATATTAAACAATCAATAAATTTTAAGAGATGTTAGATTTTATTTAAGATTATTTTGAAATAAATTATTTAGCTCCGAATTTTTTTTTGAAGTGTACAAAATTATAATTAATATAATTCTAATCAAAACCAAAGCTACTTTAAAACATGCTCAGCCTTCTTTTAAATTTAATTTATGTTGCAATATACAAGCTTTTTTATACTTTAGTAGAATATTTTATTATATTAAAATATATTTTTTTGCTTCTAATTTTTTATTACAATACAAAATTATTTTTTTATATTTTATATATTTATAATATATATATAATTAATTTTATTTTTTATTAAAATAATATATATCTACTTATATCTATGAAGTATTATAAATTTTTTTAGATGATATGATTAATCATTGTATTCAAGAGATATATATATATATATATATATATATATATATATATGCTAGTGTAACATATATGTTTTAGATTCACCTATCTATCTTTAAAGATTTTTTTTTTCTTTGTTTCATTTTAAATCAACAAGAATTATTACATTGAGTTTCTATTATAAACATGTGTATTTATATAGATTGAAGGAATTTGATAGAAGTAAGTAAAAGTAAGTAAATTTAATGACATCTAATAGAGACACTTTTTAGAAGCTTCAAAAATGTAGATTTGACTTTATAAGTATTTATAGTTGATTGATAGGTTAAAAAATTAATCAACAAGTTGGCTATGTGTTGCACATGTTGATGTTTTGTAGTACAAATTGGTTATGATTTGTAATACAAGTTGGCATATATGTAGAAAACTTGTCTTGCAAGTTAAATATGTGTTGGAGGTCATATAGAACATTGCGATGTAGCTCTTAATTTGATACTATATATAAAAATAAGAATGAAGCCTACTTCACTCTTATTAATGTTTTTCTTGTTTTTTATCTTATTTCAAGAGTCTTTAGTGTTCTTATCTTTGGCAATAGCATTCTAGCTCTAATATTATATTATCTTTGAATAAATATCTATTCTTTTTTAATGATACAAGAGTGTATTGAAGATTTTATTGTTTGTAATTCATATCCTTGTCAATTTGACAAAAGTGCCAATTCTCTATTATAGTTTTGTTTTAGAAAGGAGTAAATTACATCACTTGTTTTGATGTGTTTTAAATGTTGCAAACTACCTATCTTTAAAGTAACATTTTTTTATTTTCTAACATTGATTACTTCTCTTTTAAGAATTTGATATTATTTGATTTTTATTTGATATTAGAGATTATAGATTACCTTCTTTTAATTTGACTTATATATTTGTTTAAATTAGTTATTATATAAATAGAAAGAAAGTTTATAGATACTATATTTGATATAAGTAAAAATAGATTTATAACTATTATAGATCTTCTTGGACTTTTTAATACTTTTAAAGTAAAAATTTCATGTATTACTTATGTTAATTATAGAGATATTAATCTTATGTCTATTAAAGAAGTTAAAAATGAAGTTCAATGTCTTTGCTAAGAAATTATGCAATTAAAAGAAGCAAGTAGAACAACATTACAATTTAATCTACAAGATCTTACTATTATATGCATGAAAGAGGCCAAAATAAGTTTATTAGAGAGATTTGATAGAATAAGTTTAAAATTTTGAGGATTTTCACAAAAAATAAAGCTTTATTTAAAGTTACATCTTTCTTGATACACTGATGGTTTTATTCAAGTTGGATTTATAAGTATACTTCTATCTATAAGTTTTCTTTCTTAATATGTATTTTTGATAGAAAAATATTCATAATTCTTTTTTGATTTAAATTCATTCTTGAAAGTATTTACAACCATATTTTAAAAAAATAATTCAAATAAGATAGCAAAGACCAAACTTCTATCTTTATAATAAGAATTGCATTCACCTATTATATATGCTACTAAATTTCAAAACCTTGCTTGTGATGTAGATTGAAATGATAAAGCTTTTATCAATCAATTTTAATATAGATTAATAAATAATATCAATACATTAATCATTTTCTTGTATGATTCAAAAAAAGATATATAGAATATAGGATAGAAACTCATAGACTTTGATAGATGTAGGCAATAAGCAACTGGATTGATTTATTCACAAATAAAAAATGGTCCAAGCTTACAATAATCCAACTTGTCACTAAGACAACTAGTCTTATTATTGCAATAAAGTAACTATACCTTATTGCTAATGTAAAATTGATGTTGTTTCTTGCAATATACATTCGCATTAGTCTTTTATCATTCTTAAGCTTCTTTTAATTGTACCTTTCTTATTATATGTAGTTTAGATAAAAACTATCTATTATCACATCTGTAAAATCATAAAAACTTGATATTAAAAGATCCATGATAAAATTTATAAAAACAAAAGATCACAATTATTTCTGAATATGTAATGGCTGAAAAAGTCTATAAGGTCAATGATGATGAGTTTTTAATCTTAAATAAATATCACATGATTATACAAAGTCTTTGATATTATTCATTAGATATTAAAAAGAAATTGATGCATTTGTGAGTCCAAAAGACATGTCATTATATTCCAAATACCTATACCTAATTTAAAATGTAATTTTTTTAATTTATCTCTTTTTTTAATGCATACTATGTTACATGCTCATTGTAGATTTTTTTTTTTTATATAGATCTTTGTTTGATTGAATTAATTAAGATGTCCTAAAATCAAAGGTAGAAGATACCTATTTTTAATGATGATCTTGTTGAGTCTTTGATAGTCCACATACATCCATAGAGATCCATATTTTTTTTTACAAATAAGATAGGAACTCTTGCTAGAAATTAAAAATGGCATATAAAGTTTTTAGCTAAGTTGTTGTTAATATACTCCTTGAGTGCAATCAACTCATTTTGTGATAAGCTATAGATTGGTCCAAATAATAGTTGAACTCTTTTTTGAAGATTGATGGAATATTTATAAGAACTGTGCTTTAGAAGAATATCTATATTTTTCTAAAAATACCTTAATAATCTTAATACTAGCTTAAAATGCTTCTTAAAATATTTTTCTATTAAAAATAGATGTGGCATATATAGCAAAAATTGACCATTTTTTTGCAGTATGCATGAAAGCTCTTGTACCTACCAATAAAACTTTGGATATATTCAACTTATGGATTTCTACTTAACTAATAGAATTCTAAATTAAACTATGAAAAAATCAAGATTATGAAAAGTCCAATCTATTTAAAGATTATATTTTTCTAGCCATGATAATTCTAATATAACTAGATTAAAAATAGATCTAATCATATTAAATATTACTAAGCTATTATGATCTTTAGTTGTTATATCTAAAGAAATTGTTTCATAGATAATATCTCCAAAGAGCAATTAATGACTATCTATGACATCTACATGCACAAATATTATTTTATAACTAAAAGTATTTTTTGTTTTTTAATAAAGGTTTTATCTATAAAACAAGCTGAGGCTCTTGAATCTAATAAGGTAAAGATTTTTTTTGATTTTTTGGTCATAAATAAATTTCTATTTTAGAATAAGATAAAAGATCTAAGGAAAGAATAGGACCTTTACTATATGTTATATAAGATTCCAATGATACAATCCCTATTATAATTGGAGATATTTGTTTTTTGACACATTGTCTTTTTTTTGCAATTATACTCTTTATTTTGTGATTGTGTTATTTCTTTAGATATTATTGAGTAGTATGCTTAGATTCTCTATAATATAAGCACAATCTTTTTTGATGATGTTAAGTCTTTTTTTGCTTAGTAAAAGGTTTGAAATGCATTGTATTAATTTGTATAAGTTTTTTTGTCATGTAGTAATATGACTATATAATAAAGAATAAAAATATGGATATTATTATAGAAGAGCCTAATAAAAAGAAGTAATAAAAAAATAAGAATAAATAATAGAAAAATAGTAAAATATTTAATTTTAATACTCTTTTTTATAGAAGA